AAATCCCTGTTTTGCACCGAGTTTCCACCGGGCTGGCCCTATGGTACCATGAAATTAAATTAAGCACCATGCCTAATCATGGAACCAAACACCAAAAACATAAATCCCTGTTTCAGATCCAGTTTACCGGGCTGGCCCTATGGTACCATGAAATTAAATTAAGCATCATGCCTAATCATGGAACCAAACACCAAAAACATAAATCCCTGTTTTGCACTGAGTCCACCGGGCTGGCCCTATGGTACCATGAAATTAAATTAAGCACCATACCTAATCATGGAACCAAAGACATAAATCCCTGTTTTGCACCGAGTCCACCGGGCTGGCCCTATGGTAACATGAAATTAAATTAAGCACCATGCCTAATCATGGAACCAAACACCAAAAACATAAATCCCTGTTTTGCACCAAGTCCACCGGGCTGGCCCTACAGTACCATGAAATTAAATTAAGCACCATGCCTAATCATGGAACCAAACACCAAAAACATAAATCCCTGTTTTGCACCGAGTCCACCGGGCTGGCCCTATGGTACCATGAAATTAAATTAAGCACCACGCCTAATCATGGAACCAAACACCAAAAATGGTATCATTAATAATATTATCACATATAATATATATTTACAATAAAATAGACATGTGTATCTCACTATCTTGAATAAATTAAATATACTAGTATTTGCTTCCAAAGTACAAACACGCAATTCTGTAAATAATTAACATCCACAGTCAACATTGCATATACCATAGCCATAAATGTGCCAATTTCTTGGCGAAAAAAGCAAACAGCGCTTTTTTTTAAGGTGAACCATTTGTTCATTAAAGATTTTTGGAAAAGGAAAGCTCAAAAAAAAAGGCCCAAAAAAGATTTGTTTTTCCTTGTTTCTTTCATTTTTTCAGTGTTTTGGCAGAAACCAAAAAAACAATTGTGGCTGACCCCTTTTTAAACTGACACACATTACTGACCAAAAACAAATCATTTATATTTTTTTGACCTAACTCCTTTTATGGCTTTCGAAGCAAAAGTATCAATTTTAGATGCTTTTTCACAAAATAAATATCAGGTATTTAAAATGCCAAAAAATGACCATGCTCACGTAATTCTCACGTACGTGAGTTAGACCGGAAATCGGCCAAATTCACGCGTGTGCGTGAGAATGGGTGTTTTTACGTGTGTACTCACGTAACACAGTACACTTCAAGGGTGACACAGATAAATGCGTGAACGTGCGTGAGATCGATTGTTTTTTAGTGCGTACTCACGTGAAAAAGAAACATTGCGTTAGAGTCCGATCTCACGTGCGTGAGAATGATTGTTTTTTAGTG